TAATTTTTGGATTATGTTAACAATTCAATGAAATAACATGCATTAATTTAACAACACAATAAATCAATAATACTAAAACTTAAAACAAACTATAACAACAATTACAATAAAACATAAGAAAACATGAACATCAATCCATCATAATTGTTACACAAATAAAATAACAATTATTGTAAGTTTAAATTATATGAAATACATTAAAATCATAACTGCTCCAATAGATCACTAGTTCACCACAAATCATATAATTTACACAAAAAACAAGTTCATATTTTCAGAACTTAAATATCCACAACAATAACAATGTTATAATATAAATTATATTACACAAATACTCTTATAATTACTAAAAAAATATAAAAAAGTTAAATATATTTTTTACAGGTAGGATAGGAATGCGAAAATTGATGGACATTTTGTATTCCTACCCAATTTAATCGGAAGACCAAAAACTCTTTTGCATTTTTACTCTATTTTTGCAGCTAGTCATTCAGTAAGGTAGGATAGTGTAGGGTCGGATAGGGTAGGAAATTACGGCCAATCAAAAATTTGAACACTCCCACTAGTGAGGACCTATTAGGGTGTCGGGGTAATTTCTAAGTGCTTTCTTTTGTCCTTATCTCTTTTTTCTTAACAAAAAAAACACATAAATTTTAACTACAAATTTTAATTGCGTTACCGAATATTATACTAAAGTCTCAAGAATAAAAGAAGGTCGATTTCAAGCACCACCTCGAGAATCTTGTCGATGCAAAACTTTATTTTCTTTTTTATGAACATATAAAGATAGAACAGACAAATTTTAATTCTTTTTTACCAATATCATAATGTAAAAACTCAAGTAAGGAAAAAAAAAATCCAATTCCAAAAGGTTTTTATCCTTTGTTTCTTTGGATATGATTAAGGTGTTCATGTTGGCTGTTTCAAAGTTGTCTCGAGGGTCTTTCCTCGTCACTCATTGGCAGCCAAAGCTTGGAAGTGTTACCACTTCCCTGTGACCCTAAAGTCTCTATCAAGTTAGCAGAGATAGCAAGTAAAACTTTAAATTTTTGAGTGTAACATTTGACAGTGATGGTCCCTTGCTAAAGAGGAGTACAAAATTCCGGTCATTAGAGGCCCACCTTGTACAGTGTATTTACAAATTTAATTGATTGCGTGTTTGATACTTCTTTTAAATTTTGACCATAATATAGAAAAGTTGTCATTTAGTGATGTTATAGCTATTAGTTGAACATCGATTAGGCGACATTCAATTAGAAATTTTGTACCATTCACATCGATGTTACATCAACACGAATGATATTCTTTTACTTTAAAATTATATGAATAAATAATGTATTTGACTCATTTTTAATATTAAATTCTCTGGATCCCCTTAATTTCATATCACTTGGAGCCTACCATCAATAGCCGATAGAGATGATTGAAAATGATGCTATCTCTATTACAATTTGCTTTTTTTTTTTTTTTCCCGATTCCCTCGATGGTAGGTTACTAGCCATAAAACCCAAGTTGAACCCTTTATGTTCAAGCTTGTCCGTAATCGAAATGGTGATTGATATAATATTGACAAAGTTAAGAATAACAATACATCAGAAAGGTTCCAAATTCTTCGACCAACCCAAGCGATCGGTGTCATTTGGTCCAACGTTGCTTAAAGGCTTGTTAAGGGTTTTGTTTAAAGATTGTAAGAATTATGTTTCGGGTTTGATTTAATAAAAATAAATTATTGAATTATTTTTTAGAGATTTGGTGAGACCGAAATCTAACTATGACTCAGGTTGTTCTTGGGCAGCGCCTATCGTTCCTCCGTCAATGCCCTCGTGAAGGGCTTTCTCGACGAATAAGGACCGATATAGTGACATCCTGTTAAGATTTTCTACTTGGTCGTGCCGCTATGTACTCAAAATACGAAACGGCTTTGACCTGGGACTGGTCGCCCTCTCTCGCTCTCTCTCTCTCTCTCTCTCACAGAAGATACACAGAAGATACCCTTCAACATGATGCATTTAAAGATTGAGCCACCAAAGTCAACAACTTCACTTCATTACTGTTCATACGAGTCATTGAGTCAGTCAATGTATAGTTGTTAAGATAAATAAATGGTTGTGGACTGGGAGACTCAACATTATCTTTATTGTAGAACACTAAAAGTCTAAAACGGCTGTTGTAAGAGAAGTAATGTTACTTATATTTAGAAACTAGTTATAAAAATTAAATTTAATTATTGAATAAATAGTGAATTCTAATAAATATTAAGACTTACAATAAAATTAATGGTTAAAATTATCAAATTTAATTTTTAAATTCACATAATATTACTTTTTTAAGAGACCCAAACTTCTTAAAAGGCAAGAAACCCAAGTCTTATTCTATGTTCCTTCCTCCCCGTTTCGCACCGTCTAATTTTCTCAGCACATAAGATAGTTCACAGAAATACGAAAAAGGCCTAATTATTGAATATTTGAAAGCCACTTAATGCTCCATCCGTTCCTAAATATTTTTTGTTTAAAGTTTTTGTACAGTGATTACGGAAACTATTAAATAGCTCTAATATGAGTAAAAATTAATTACACAAGACTAAAATACCCTTATTCAATATGTATTAAGAGAAAAATGAATATAAAAGACACTTAACTTTCACCTAATCTAATGCATTGAAAAGTTAAAGGTAAATTTGGAAGAAAAAATATTAATTATGTTTTAGTTTTATTAAACGAGTAATATTATGGAACAAAAAAAATTGTGTAAAATAACAGATATTTAAGAACGGAGGGAGTAAGTAAATTCTGAGGGATAGTTCAAGTGGTAACATAAATAAATTGTAAATCTAAATATTATGAGTTTGAATCTTGACAACTTTTTAAAACCAAACAGTAAGAGATAGTCTACCTTTAATCAAATCGGAAAAAAAATTAATTAATGTGCACATAAGTCGATTCGATAAAAAAAATAAGAAAAACCACTTTAGCAAGTGGTGCCAAATCTCTCTCCCTCTCTCTCTCTCTCTCTCTCTCTATATATATATATATATATAATAAAACAGGAGTGTGTTTGAATTTTATTTCAGTCATATTTTCTCCTTCAAAACCATCACCAATCACTTACTTCATCCATCATCTCTTTGTCAGGTTCAAACATCTTATCGTATCACTTATTTCTGTCATATATTTAATCATTTATATATATTTTTCTTAAAAATATCACATCACTCATTTCTATCATATATTTAATTATTTAATATTTAATTAATTTATAGTTAATATTTTTAAAAATAATTAATATAATAGAATCGATTTTTTGAATTTTATATATAAATTAATGGAGAGATGCCGTGATAAAGCTACCCTCCCTCCCTCTTTTCTGAAATTATAAAGTTCTGATTTATTTATTTAATCAATACTTAATCAAAATTAACCACCAACTAGACTAGACGGTAACTCTCATATTTCAGTTATTTTAGGTCTCCTTCTAAATCTATTTAAATACTCATTCTAAGGTCAATCTCTATTTATTAGTACTTTGATTTATTAAAAAAAATAAAACGTATCTTTTATAATTAACTCTTAATTTCGTTAATTGTTTAATTGATAAAAAGAAAGAAAAAAGAAGATGGAAAAATATATATATATATAGATGGGATTTACATCCCTCATTGGTCGGAGCTACCGCTAATAATAAAAAATAATTAAAAATAAAAAATTGTGTCGATGTCAATTTTTGGGGCATAATAAGGACCATCCAAACAATGCCTTATCACAGTTGAAGACTGTGCAATAGCTCGGAGGACACGTGAGCCTCTACCTAACAATCTTACGGAAAATAAACTAATCTATAATTTATAATATAAATTAAACAAATTTCAATATATCTATTTAATTGTCACAAATAAATTCATTGAATGACCTCAATAACCCTCTCAAAATTATTCATATTGAATTTTTTCTCTAAATTCATTAATTTCTCACTTACATTATCACTTTTGTTACATTGTGTCTTCCAACACGAATTATCTCGAATATACACAAACATAAGATCGCAACTGGTTATTGATTCTCTACTAATGAAATGATAATTAACAATCATCGAATGTGGTGGTCTAATGGAGTACCAATCAAATTTTTCATTCTAAAATTAGAAATTTAAGTCTTAAAATTTATATTTGGATTCAATAATTTGACGAGTCTAATCAAGTTTGTTCCAAAAAAAAATAGAAGGGAGGTCTTTGTATACTCTCCGATCGCCTACCTTTTTTAAAAAATAACGAAATGATAATTAATATCGTTAACATGAATTAAACAAATCGATGGGCAGACTGGCCGACTTTTAACAAAACGAATGACGAGTTAGGAAAATGTTAAGATAACAACATAACCAGACCAATCAATTCATGAATAAGCAGGGAGAGAGAGAGAGAGAGAAATATATGTAACCATGTAACTGCGGAACGAATGTAGAGGCGTGAAGTGTACGGAATGTTGGGTGGTAGTTGCATTTTTAAATCATCTTCTTCTGCGAATGGTTTAAACTTCAGCTAATGATCTAGAGATATTAAATGCCAACGTTGTTCGGATGTTTTTAGATATTTTATTAAAAGATCAGAGGGATCACATGGCTTCTTCTTGTACCCTGCTCAGATGGGTTTAAGACAATTCAAATAATGGAATTTTTAATTCTCAAGAGCTGGTAAGGTTTCTGTCTCTATTCTGTTTTCAGCTTTTCTTTGAAGTTTCTGTAGCGATATCTTTTTGGGTGCTTCTCTCTCTCTCATGGACAGAGGTCCTATTATTCCTTTTTTTTTTTTCCCCCATTCCCCTTCACTTTTGTAAGAACAATTTGAAAAGGGAAGTTTTTCTGGGTATTTTCTGTTTCTTTGAAGGTGTTTAATTTGGAGTTTTTTTTTTTTTGTTACAGAAAAATGAATTTCTTTGCTTCATCTCTCCTGTTAATTCTGACTATTCATTCGATTGCAAGTTTAACTGTTGTGTTCATATCTATGGATGTTACAGAGCATTCACTGGCAAGGGAAGCCCAAGGCAATGGAGGAGAGAGAAATAATTGAAGGCCTATATGCATTGCCTCCCCCTCCATCTTTGACTGTTGCAATTGCTATTACTGGAAATAGAAAGAGTAAATATATAGTTAAGTGGGCATTAGACAAATTTGTTCCCGAGGGGAAGCTTATGTTCAAGTTGCTACATGTCCGCCCTAAGATAACTAAGGTTCCAACGCCAAGTAAGTTGTGTTCTCTTCGGATTTTTCTTTCAGGGTAGAGTAGATCTATTCTACGACATGTATGATAAAATGGAGTTCTTAAGCTTCTGCTAAGAGATGGCGTTTAATTTGCCTAGTTTTGTTAGTAACTATCTTTCTTATCTTTTTGATTCGAATTGTGTTGTATTTGAAGTGTTGTTGGCAGTTTGTCATTCCTCCCTAGACCTCGTAGTGGCGGGGTACGTGTTAAATGATAGCAATATCTACATCTGTTCTATGCTTTAGATATTTGACACTAATTCTTTTTTCCAGTGGGAAATTCCCTTCCCCTTTCGCAAGTGCGAGATGATATTGTAGCTGCTTACAAGAAAGAAGTGGAATGGCAAATGAGCAAAAAGCTTCTTCCTTACAAGAAGATGTGTGCTCAAACAAAGGTTGAAACTCATTGGCTTATGAGAATCTCAAGGAAAAAAAGAAAATTAAATTAAAGAGGCTTATTATACAGGATTCTGATTGCAGGTGCAAGTAGAAGTTGTACAAATTGAATCAGATGATGTCATAGATGCGATAGCGAGTGAGGTTGCCAAATGTAATATTACCAAGCTTGTTATAGGAACTTCATCCCGGAGATTGTTTTCAAGGTATTAACGTACCATGCTTCTTTGTGATGCTTTTGTTGACCCTTAGTTAATGAACTTTATCTGCCTAATCCCTTTTGTTCAATTAATCTCTCCCGATTTTGAGTGTGAAATTCAAAGCCTGATTGTTTTCAATTTTGTATGCTGCCTTCACTATTTCCTGGTTGACGTCATTACCAATATTGTTAACAAAGTAATGTTTGTTGGAAACTTAGGGGACAAAGTTTGTCCTCAAGAATATCCGAGTGCACTCCAAGCTTTTGTACGGTGTATGCTATTTCAAAGGGCAAATTGTCATCCGTGCGTCCATCTGATTCAGAGATAACTGGAAGCATTAAAGATGACAGTAGTGACACAAGTTCTTCTACCAGCAATCCTATAAATTGCACTTCCACTTCACAAACAGGTAAATATACATGTTTATGGACTTCTAATGTTTTCGGATGAATGGTTGTGCTCTAATTGGCTTTTTAGCATCCACAATATGTATAAGCAAACAGTATAAGCTAAAATTTGCATCAGACAGTGACTGCCCGTTCACCAACTATTGCTGGCAAAGCAAGATGCTCGTAATCCTGCCATCTAAGTCTGTAACATTACCCGATTCTGATTGACAGAAATTATGTTACACATCATGTTCATGTGCTTTTAGAGATAGTTTTGCAATCAAGGCACATGGGCTTTGCCATGCATGATTTAGGCGTCTGTTGACTGCTGGACTGTGGATATGCAGACACAGGTCGAATTTAGTAAGTCCTGAAGAGCGCTGGACATGGTGTTGTCAATTACAATTTTTCCTAGTATTACTTCCTTCTCAAGGATGTGCCACATGTGTGATCCTAATGTATGACATGTCTGATAAACTAGAAATATGTTCCATTTTTAGTATAGCATGCCTCATCATATTTTCCAACCCAAAATAGATAACAGAAATGAGATGATGCAATATTTTAATCCTTACCAACTTGATCTTGTTCCCCCCTGCCAACAATTATGCATGAACCATTTCACCAAGTTTGTGTTGTACTGTGTCCAACGCGGAACTTACAATTTTCAATTAACTACATGCCAAAGGTGCCTCCAGCTTAGTGAGAGTTCCTTTATAATCTGTGATTCTTGGGTATTTATTGTTAACAATCTTCGCTCTGTGCTTTGCCAAGATTTTTATTTGATGAGTAATCTAAGAATATGTTTCCCGGCAACACAGAGAGAAATGATAAGACTGGATCTTAGTACCTTAACATGGTTTGTAAGTATTTCTTATAGGTTCCAGTCTGTAACTTTATTCAGGAGATGTCATTAGCCTATAAGCTAATAGAAGTTGATGATACAATTTTTCTTTCTTTTGTCAGAGTGGACAGGCCCAAGCTCAGCTGCTTCTTATTCTCTTTTTTCCTCTACATCACTACCGATTCAGCGGTTTCAATCACTTTCAATCATTAATAATACCCTTTCTCATAGAAGAACAATTTCAAACGATGCCAATCATTCTAGAAGCCTGTCTCTGGATACTGTGGAATGGGAGAGCATTGCCGCTGTGAGTTCTTGTCCAAGTAATTCAGATGCAGGCTTTACAAATACTCGGGCTTCTAGTTTCAGATGCCAGATAAGAGACCACCCGTCCAGGATATCTGATCAAGCATCTACCTCAGCTGTTCCCTCAGATTTTTCCTCTGAAAACCAGGCAATGTTTTGCATTATGTTTAATTTTGTTAGTTTTTTAATCAGTTTGACCCCCATAAATGCTTTAACTTTGTTACCAGGATCAGTTTTGGGTGGGAAAGATTGGCAGAATCCCTCTGATTTATATTGATTCAAAGAAAAGTTCAAACATTTAATAGTTCCTTATAACGTTGGACTCGAGCTAAAGTTTCCTGCATAACTTGCATATTTGGGGGATTAGTAAGGAGCCAGACCACTTACTTACTGCTGTCTATATTCACTAGTAGAAATTAGCTAACGTCTATTAGTTAGTGCAAAAGCTTCTATGCTGTTCCATACAAATTCACTGCCAAAACATCATTAAATAAAACAAGCAGTACATTTGTTTCTTAACCACCCCTGCCGCCACTCCCCCAAAGAAAATGCATACATGTGTGTGTGTGTGTGTGTGTGTGTGTGTCTATATATATATATATATATATATATAATGAAGATAAAATAGAATAACCTTATTCTTTTTTGTGAAATATCCTTATCCTTGAGGACACAAAAAAGATCGGTGTGCTTTTGGAAATTCCTTTCTATATCAATGTTTAATGTTGCTATGGGTTTCAAAAAAAATATTACTTTTTATTGAAATATAGTGGCTTGACCCAAGTGACTTGAACTAACAACCATATCGTTAATATGAAAGCTTCGTCTTCTTGATATTTGTAAGTTTAAAAATGTGGCCATCAGGATGAGTCCAAGGCATAGTACCGTAATCTTAAAAGGTTTATTATATTTTGCAGGACAATATCAATTTTGAGCTCGAAAAACTAAGAATTGAACTGAGACATGCTCGAGGAATGTATGCAATAGCTCAAAGTGAGACAATTGATGCTTCTAGAAAGGTAAAATTTATTTCTTTGCCTAAATAAGCATGAAAAGGACTTAATTCAATTCTTAACTTGATTACCGGACTTGGTTTGTCCTATTTATACATGCACTTTTCTGTCACCAAATTTTTTTGATTTTATTCTTAAGTTAAAATTATTACTGAAAATCTTGGCAAAATTTGCAACATCGAGGCCTTCTGATCTCTTCATAAAACATCAAGGCACAATTTAATGTATTTTTTTGACTTCAGATGACTTGGGATCGCTTAGTGTTCCTAATATTTTTGGATGTGAGGAGTCATGTTTGGCAAAAATTGCACCTATTCACAAAATTTAGCAGTTCCTGGCTATATAACAGCACAAAATATTTTGCTCTTGAACATTAGAGGGATTGACTGCTACTATAGTGGACCATGACGGAAAAGTGCATTGTTACAGAGATTTGAATTAACCAGATATATGGATCATCTTTGAAAATTTTGATGATCCCTATAATAAAATTAAGTGAGCAAAAGTTGATATATTGCTAGTTACACATTTAAGGTTTGCGTTATTTTATTTACCAAATTTATGTTTTGATTCATGCCCCATCTTGTAAAGAACAACACTCCACGTTTTTTTCTCTTTGTCAGCTAAATGATCTTGAAAAGTGCCGACTGGAGGAGTCAATTAAGCTCAAGGAGTTGAACCTAAAGGAGGAGGAAGCGAAAGAATTAGGTCAACAAGAGAAGGATGGATATGAATCGGTGAAAAGAGAAGCCAAGTATGTTAAGGAATGTGCTGAAAGAGAAGCTGCACAAAGGAAAGAAGCAGAAGCTAAGGCCTCACATGAGGCCAAAGAGAAAGATAAGCTTGAGAATGCCATTGTAGGCCCAGTGCAGCAGTACAAGAAGTTTACATGGGAAGAGATCGTGTCTGCTACCTCATCATTTTCCGAGAATCTTAGAATTGGAATGGGAGCATATGGGACTGTCTATAAGTGCAGTTTTCATCATACAACTGCTGCAGTAAAGGTCCTCCACTCTAAAGAGGCTCACAGGACCAAGCAATTTCAGCAGGAGGTATGAAAGCTCTCTGAATAACTAGAAACTCTGAAAATCATAACTATTTTTAGAAGGATATAGTGTGATTTATTTAAAGTAATTAAGTGCTCTTAGAATTTTCTCTATTTACTGTTGCACAACCATTTAGCTGAAGCAGTTCGTTTTTCAATAACTTATATATGCTGTTTACTGGCTTGCAGCTTGAAGTCTTGAGCAAAATTCATCATCCGCATTTGCTAATTCTGCTTGGTGCATGTTCTGATCATGGTTGCCTAGTTTATGAGTACATGGAGAATGGTAACTTGGAAGAGAGGCTGCTCCAAAAAAATAATACACCTCCAATCCCATGGTTTGAGAGATATCGAATTGCTTGGGAAGTAGCCTCAGCCATGGTCTTTCTTCATAACTCAAAGCCAGAACCAATCATCCATCGTGATCTAAAACCAGCAAACATATTGCTTGATCGCAACTTCGTGAGCAAGATTGGTGATGTTGGCCTTTCGACAATGCTTCATTCAGAAAATGCTTCCATATCAACCACATACAAGGACACAGGCCCTGTTGGAACGCTCTGCTATATAGATCCCGAGTATCAAAGGTCTGGATTAATCTCTCCAAAGTCTGATGTTTATGCTTTTGGCATGGTGATTTTGCAATTGCTAACTGCAAAACCAGCCATAGCATTAACCCATGTGGTGGAAACAGCAATTGATCATGGTGATCTAGTGGAGGTACTGGATCCAGAGGCTGGGAATTGGCCAATTGAGGAGACAAAGGAGTTGGCTATGCTGGGCCTGAGCTGTTCAGAGCTTCGTCGTAGAGACAGACCTGATATGAAAGATCAAGTTCTACCTGCATTGGAGAGATTGAAAGAAGTGGCAGATAAGGCTCGAGATTTGGCATCCAGTGCTCCTCAGACACCTCCTAACCACTTCATTTGTCCCATACTCAAGGTATGCTTGTATGTCTTTCTACTGCTAGCCTTTGCATAATTCTCTTGCAACTCACATATTTACATCAGAAATTAGATGGAGTGTTGAAAACAGAAGTTGTTGAGAATGAAATGAAGGACATTGATTTGTTTGATATCTTCTAAATAGTCACTTCTGGAATATTTGTGTAGCTGCATGTGTCGTAAAAAAATGGGGACAAGGTTTTGTTAAGTAGTTGTACATGCGATGTAATCTCCACTTTCATATGCACGTTATTATTCATCTTCCCTATAAGAGAAGTTGCATACATCTTACCGTTCTCAAATCCCATAATGGAATATGGTGTAGTTTATTAATGGCAACTTTTCATTATGTGACAGGATATAATGGATGACCCTTGTGTTGCGGCGGATGGTTACACATATGACCGTAAGGCCATGGAGATATGGTTCGAGGAGAATGATAAGTCACCAATGAAAGATGTACCATTGCCAAATAAGAGCCTAGTACCAAATTACACACTTCTTTCTGCAATTCTGGACTGGAAGTCAGGAAAGCATTGAAAATCCTGTACTTGTGCCCTTGTCTCTTTCAGATTTCCTTGCAAGATCTATACTCCATGTACATGCATTTGATAACCTTAGATGCTAGCACAGTGTAAAACCCGGAAAAAAAAATTATTATTATTATTAAAAATTCTAATTAAAGAGGTAAAATAATAATTAATTGTTAAATTACGGATCAAAAACGTAAACTTTTAAAAAAATAAAGTTATATTATATATATATATATATATATATATAAGAGTGGAAGACAAAAATATTCCACTTTTCTTCTTCCAATGTACTGCCGAGAGAGTGAGAGAGAGAAAGGTGAGGTTTTTTTTTTTTTTTTTCTCCTTCCTTCTTTCTTAAATCTACGAAAATTGGATTGTTTAATCGTTTCTGGCCAAGAATTAAAGTTGTTCTACTCAGAGCTACGCAACCACACCAAATATCGTATTTTTTTCTAAACAAATATCAAAGACGATAATCTAGGCTTAAAGTTTTGGAAGTTAAGTTGAGCTTCTTCTGAGTTTCAGTACGTGGGCTCACACTACGAGAGCTAGGGTTTCCCTTATTTAGATTTAATTTCAACCTAAAACATGGCATATGAAATGGGTAGGTTAAAGGGTGTACATCACATGTTAAGTCTTGACTAGTATAACTAGTGGGTCAAATATATGATTTATAATTAACTTTGTGATTAGTAAAATCTTATTATGATTAACTTGGTATAAGTTAATGTTAATGGTTTAAAGCATGTTAATTGTATTAGCATTATTTTATGTTTTAAATGACATATTAAGTTTAATAAAATTATTAGCTTGTTATGTGATTATGGAATAATATGTATGTTAAATAATTATTTAGCATATGATTATTGTGGTGGACTTGTGCTTATGTTTATAGAATTGATAAACATATTGCTATGTTGAAAATGTCATTATAATATATTCTTTATGTAATGGACATTGTAAATGATACAAAAGGCAATTGCACATTGAATTGTATTATGAATAAGTTGCATTACATTCATGAGCATTGACATGGGTGGGAGTGTGTGCATGATATAAAATCAATCACCACATAGGTGGTTGATTGTGGGCTCGGAAAAGTCGCACCAAAGTCTGGTTGAGTCACACGAAATGTAAATGGATAAACGTGTCGGGGATAGCAAGAAGGACTAGATTCTCCCTCAGGTGCAAGACCCGTTTACTTGGTTTATACACTTTTTGGTGGTGAAATTTCAAAAAAGTGTAACGGCAAAAACGGAGTTGTAGGTGGAATGTCCTGAGAATCTGTTGGTGGTTGGTGTCCCATTTGTGTAATACTATAAATCATCTTCCCACAAAGACACGAGAAAATGATTTAATTAGTCATTGAATGTACATAACACCAATGACGAGGGACTTGAAATGCCCGGATACATACGCATGGCATTGCATGTGTTGTGGGAGCTCAGGATGGGGCTCGGTGTGGGTATTGCTTGCATGAGTCTCATCTCATGGCATAACATGATTTATGATATTTGTTCATAATAGATATATTTGAATGAATGCATAAAATGATTGTTTCATGTGACATTTCATATACATTTAGGTTGAGAGGTATTCTCTATAGGAGTTACTCTATTGAGCGTTGGCTCACCCTTTATGGGAACATTTTTCAGGTATTGCATAGGCGTCCACCAAAGGCGAGGCCATGGGCCCGCTTTGACGACAGAGCCTATCTGTGACTTTTCTTTTGACATCGTAGTCCCTTATTTATATTTACTTTTGGCCTTGTGTAATTTTTGTAACAAAAAACTTGTTTACATTTAAAAGACATGTATAAGGGACTCTTTTGAGACATTTATTCTTTTATGAATGAATGTACGTAATGATGATGATTATGTAGTATTCGATACTATACAATTGTGAATAATTGGATAGACCCGGTGTGGTCAATGTTGTACATGTTGTGTTTTGTGTAGAGTTCCTTGTACAAAAGAAACTCTGCTCCAATTTTGTTAAGTTATAGACTCCGATAAATGGAGCATAACAGCGTATTATCGAATTACCATGGGTATTCCACAGGTTGATGGATGATCAACGGGGTAATTACTGACACTCGGATTTCGGGGTATCACACACAGCCTTCTGTTTAGTATTGATTTCACATAAAGAATCAAAACTAAAACTTGTGAAAACAATAAAAAAGAAGAATCGGGAAGACTATTATTTGAACACAACCTCATAATGAAACGACTCGGATACTAAACAGTATAGATTAAGTGTCAACATGGATCATTCTGATTTCGACTGGTCAAACTCACTAAATTGCATTTGTAGTTAATCACATTAACCAGAGAGGGTTTTTTTTTGGGTAGTTTTCTTACTGCTTGTTTTGGTTTTATTTGAATAGATTAGTGTTTTGCCTTGGTTTTTTTAGGATNGTAGTTTTCTTATTGCTTGTTTTGGTTTTATTTGAATAGATTAGTGTTTTGCCTTGGTTTTTTAAGGACATGAGTCGACCAAAATTTTTAAACTTGGATGTGATGATTTTGTTGGGAGATAGGAGGTCTTGGACTTCTGGGGTTTGTGATAATAAAGTGAGTTATTGAAAGCTTTTAAAGTTTTTCGACTCAAGGTTTCTGTGGTTTGTCAAAAAAGAAGATTTTTAGATATTCATTCAAAGTCCATGATAATACTTTATTTATCATCTTTATATACCACCTCAATATGAACTATTAACTTTGTGGATCTCATTGAGTTTATNTTTATTTATCATCTTTATATACCACCTCAATATGAACTATTAACTTTGTGGATCTCATTGAGTTTATCAAATACTCGAAGATTGGAATTATGCCACGGCCTGCAGTGGTACACAAAAATAGTGTGCGTAACATAAATGTCAATTAATATTCGACCCGGTCACTGAAATGACATAACATAATAGGAGTCTATTGACACCCCTACAGCTAGCATTCGAAAATAGGTAAGAGGACACTGGGACCTCAACAAGAAACTGACACTTCAGGGCAAAGAAGCAACTGTTAGTATGAAATAATTATCATCCTCTCCCTACATCCGAGAGACAGTGTGCTCCCACTCAGAACCCACCCAGCCACCATCCTATGCCAGCTGAAGATTTGAAGGGAAAGAACTGGCCTGCTCCGCGTGTGTGTGCTGATATGTGTGAGGGAGACAGAACACTAAAATATATGCTACAAAGAAAAGTATCAAATCCTTAAGAATCATCATATCTATACAAGTGATTTGGAATCTAGAAAATTGACTTTGAATACATAACGACAAAACTGGAGACTAATTTCTGGATAAACCATCACAGTTTCACCATTTGCTGTTGCTTGTCTCCAAGCAGAGAAGGCACGAGATTGGATCAACCACCACAGAAAGAGTTGCAGAATTAGCACCACCAACTTTGCAACTCCAAAAGGAACATAAAAGGTAATTGATCAAGAAATCTAGGGTGAATAAAGGGTTCACTGCAACCCCCCCCCCCCCCCCCCCCCCCCCCACCCCCCCCCCCCCCCCCCCCGCCCCCGCC